GGCCCCGCCCCCGCCGCTGCCAGGCGGTCCAGGGTCTCCTTGGCGCGGCGCTGCGCCTCGCGCGCGCGCGCCTGCTGCTCCGGGGGCAGCGCCGCCAGCTCCGCCTCGTTCTCCACCGTGCTCTGCATGTCCAGCTCCTTCTTGACCACCTCCCGGATGCCGTCCCCGCCCTCGGCGGCCGCCGCTTCCTCCTCCTCGTCGCCCTCCACGATGCCGTACTCCTTGGCGGTGGCCTGTGTGGCGGGGGAGGGGGGTGGGTGGTTAAGGGGTGATGGGTGGTGGTTAAGGGGTGATGTGTGATGGGGGGTGGGAAGTGCGACATGGGAGGGGTGACGAGGCATTGGAGGGGCGTGCAGGGCGGAGCGGACCCAACCAGGCATCGACCTGGGACCTGCCCCCCCTGTTCCGCACCTTCCCCTCCCACCACACACACACAAGCCTCAACTCCCATGCCACCCCCCTCCCCGCACCCCCTTCCCTCCCCGCTCTCCGGGGCCCCACCCTGCGCAGGGCCTTGACCAGGTTGTCCTCGGCAGAGGAGAACTTAAAGCCCGACCCGCCGAACCCGGAGCCGTGCAGCTTGGCGGTGCCCGCCCTGCGCTTGGCCTCGAAGGACTCGGCCAGGGCGGCGAGGTCGGCGGGCACCGCTGCCCCCGACTCGCGCAGCGCACGCACCACGTCCGGCGCGTGCTGCTCCTCCTCAGGCGCGATGAAGGTGACGGCGGTGCCCGCGCGCCCTGCGCGCCCCGTGCGCCCCACGCGGTGCACGTAGTCCTCCAGGTGGTTGGGCACATCGTAGTTGACCACCAGCACCAGGTCCTTCACGTCCAGGCCCCGCGCCGCCACTGGGGTGGGGTGTGTGTTGGAAGGGCGTGAGGAGGGGATGGGATTACATGATGTTGACTAATACGAGGGTCCTGTCGTATGCTGGGGGCCAGAGCCTGAGGCCTGGGTCGGGTCAGGCATACATACCATACACACGCGCGCCCCCCCCCCCCCCCCCCCCCCCCCGAAAAAAACCATTAATCACCCGAGGTGGCGATGAGGATGTTGCAGACGTCAGACTTGAAGTCGGAGATGGTGCTCTCGCGGTCGCTCTGGTCCTTGCCGCCGTGCAGGGAGAGGCAGGGGTAGCCGTGGCGCAGGAGGTCGCGGAAGAGGTTGTCGCACCGCTCCTGGCTGGCGACGAAGACGAGGAGCTTGCCGCGCTCGTACCACTCGCCCAGCAGCTCCAGCAGGCGCCAGAGGCGGTCCTCCTCGGCCCGCAGCTCCACGAACTGCGCGATGTCGGCGTTGACCACCGACCGCCCCCCCACCTGGATCTCCACGGGGTCGGCCAGCAGCGCGCGGGCCAGGCCCTCCACCTGGCGTGGGAAGGTGGCCGAGAACATGACGGTCTGGCGGTCGGGGCGGATGTTGTTCACGATGCGCGCGATCTGGGGTTCAAACCCCATGTCGAACATGCGGTCCGCCTCGTCCAGCACCAGGTAGGTCACGCGGCGCAGGTTTGTGATCTTGCCGCCGCTGGTCACCAGGATGTCGATCATGCGCCCGGGCGTGCACACCACGGCCTCGGACCCACGCTTCAGCTCCGAGATCTGGTTGGCCACGCCGGAACCGCCGTACACCGCCGTGGCGCGCACGCCCAGGGGCTTGCCGAAGCGCCGCACCTCGCGCGTGATCTGGGACACCAGCTCCCGCGTGGGCGCCATGACCAGCGCGATCGGGCCCTCGCCCAGCGCCAGCGGCGGCTGGTCCTTGACATGGCGCAGCAGGGGCAGCACGTAGGCCAGCGTCTATACACTACACACGCGCCGCCCCCCCCCCCCCCCCCCGAAAAAAACCCCATTAATCACCCGAGGTGGCGATGAGGATGTTGCAGACGTCAGACTTGAAGTCGGAGATGGTGCTCTCGCGGTCGCTCTGGTCCTTGCCGCCGTGCAGGGAGAGGCAGGGGTAGCCGTGGCGCAGGAGGTCGCGGAAGAGGTTGTCGCACCGCTCCTGGCTGGCGACGAAGACGAGGAGCTTGCCGCGCTCGTACCACTCGCCCAGCAGCTCCAGCAGGCGCCAGAGGCGGTCCTCCTCGGCCCGCAGCTCCACGAACTGCGCGATGTCGGCGTTGACCACCGACCGCCCCCCCACCTGGATCTCCACGGGGTCGGCCAGCAGCGCGCGGGCCAGGCCCTCCACCTGGCGTGGGAAGGTGGCCGAGAACATGACGGTCTGGCGGTCGGGGCGGATGTTGTTCACGATGCGCGCGATCTGGGGTTCAAACCCCATGTCGAACATGCGGTCCGCCTCGTCCAGCACCAGGTAGGTCACGCGGCGCAGGTTTGTGATCTTGCCGCCGCTGGTCACCAGGATGTCGATCATGCGCCCGGGCGTGCACACCACGGCCTCGGACCCACGCTTCAGCTCCGAGATCTGGTTGGCCACGCCGGAACCGCCGTACACCGCCGTGGCGCGCACGCCCAGGGGCTTGCCGAAGCGCCGCACCTCGCGCGTGATCTGGGACACCAGCTCCCGCGTGGGCGCCATGACCAGCGCGATCGGGCCCTCGCCCAGCGCCAGCGGCGGCTGGTCCTTGACATGGCGCAGCAGGGGCAGCACGTAGGCCAGCGTCTTGCCCGACCCGGTCTTGGCGATGCCGATGGTGTCCCGCCCCGACATGATGGCGGGCAGGGCCTGGGCCTGGATGGGCAGCGGTGCCTCGAACCCGTCGCGCCGCAGCAGCTCGTACAGCCGCCCGCTCAGCCCCGCCTGGTGCCAGTTGGCCAGCGGCCGCGGCGCGCCGCGGCCCCGCACCCGCACGCCATCCAGCTCGGCGCGCATGCGCGCCACCTCCTCCTCGCCCAGCCGCGCCAGGGCCTCCGGCTCGCGGTAGAAGTTGCGGCGGAAGGGCGCGTAGGCGATGGACGCATGGTCCGCGGGCGCCAGGCGGTCGCCCTTGGACAGCTTGCCCGCCTGCAGCTTGCGCATCCACTCCGCGTCGTCCTCATCCTCGTCCTCCTCGTCCAGCCCGTCCCCGCTGGCGTCGCTGTCGGACCCGGCCTCGCTCTGCGAGTCGGAGTCGCGGCGGGAGGGCGGGCGGGCGCGGCGCACCGCGGGCGCGGCGCCGGGGCCGCCGGCGCCGCCCCGCGCCAGCAGGCCGGCGGGCACCAGACTGGCGGGGCGGGCGAGGGCCAGGCCCGCTGAACGCACGCCCGTGGGTCGAGAGGGCGCCGAGGCGGGCGTCGCTCCCGGCGCCGGCGGCGTCGCAGTTGTGGCCGTCGCCTGTGTAGGCAGGAGGTCACGCTGGAAGGCGTCGCCCGCCATGAAGGCGTCCAGGGGGTCTACCTCATTGTCCCCCTCCTTCCCCTCATCCGGCGGTGCACCCGCGGTGGGCGAGGTCGGCTCCAGCGTGGTGCTGGCCAGCGCGGCGTCGTTCTGGGCCATGAAGGCGTCAAGGGGGTCGATCTCCTCGTCATCGTCAGCGCCGGCCGCGGCGGGAGCATGGTTCGTCGTGCCCAGCGCGCCGCGCTGCGGCCCCTCCTCCCCTGCAATGTGCGACGGAGTGGGGTTCCTGGCTCTGGAGGGCTCTGATGCAGGGAAACACACGCGCCAGCAAGTTGATTCAATGCAGTGCAGGAAGTCTGTATGTGCAGTCCACCACTTCGAGCGGGCAAATGCATCCAGTCATGCACTTGACAAGAATTGCGGCCTCCGGGGTAACAGTTCCCTGCTCCCAAAGCTCGACACCCTGAACCCTGCTCCATCCCGGCCTACCTTCAGACACAGCGTGTCGCAGGGGCGGGGGTGGGGGCGCCGAACCCCCGTTTGAAGCCAGGGTGGCGGCTTCCTGGGCTCGCTGACCGCTATCGCCCTCGTCCTCCGAGGCAGAGGCCTCATCTTCCAGGTTCCACCCCCGCCGAGGGCTCGTGGAGGCGCCCGTCCCGGAAGAGGGCCGGCCAAGGGGCACCTGCAAGGCGCTGCGGTCGCCACCCTCCCGTGGCGCAGCAGTCTGCGCGGCGGCAGCAGCGGCAGCCGCAGCGGCGGCCTGCCGTTGCTGCATGAGTGGCGAGCGTGGTGGACAGGGGGCTTGCTGCAATAAAGTTTGCATGCTCTGCCTGCTCTCTAGCCAAGGAACAGCACAAAACTGCTCCAAGGAACCCAGGCAGTGCACTCTGCAACCCCTCTGGCATTGCATCTGCCCACCTGCCGCCATGCAAGCATCCTCTTCTCCCGCCGGTCGTCGATGGGTGGGGCCGCCTTCACCTCCTCATGCTCTTCTGGGGCAGTGTCCTCGTTGCGCCTGCAGTGCAGGGAGGAGAGTGCAGAGTCAGAACGTCTGCGCTGGGCTGTCTGGGCAGCATGCACTCCTCACGAGCGCTGCTCGTCGACGATGGTTCGAGCTCTCCACCAGGGGAACAGCGCACCTCCGCTTGCTGGCCGGCCCATTGCTGTCGCTGTCCGAGCTCCGGGCTGGTGACACACTCCTACGGCGGTGTCCCTTGTGCCTCTGCACCAAGTCGAGGGACGTGAGGGTCTAGTATGATTTGAAACGGGGGCCATCGCGGCAATTCGGTGCAGTGGGGCCAAGGCATGCTGGTAAGAAGCAGGCCACGAGCTTGGATGTATCTCCCCAGCATCAGACCTTGTCTTTACGTCGGTGCCGTTCTCGATGCTCGCTGCCCTCCCCGTGACGGGACTGGTCCCGATGATCACCGCCGCTGGGTCGGGCAGGCAGGTCGCGGCTCCCACTGCTGGGGCCCATCCCGGGCGCTGCAGATCGGTGTTGGGCATGGATCGGCATTTGATAGATTGAACAGGAGCAATGAAAGTTACGAACTCGGAGAAACATGGGGTGGGGACTCCCTGAATCTCTCAAGCGTTTGCGCTCCCCGGCTTTCGTACAGGGAGTGGCGCACCATCCATGCGAACACAGGTTCACGTACCTGGGCAATCAAGTGCCTTCCGAGGGCAGGGGGATTGCGGCGATATGAGCTGGTCTATCTGGAGCGGATCCTCCTACGGCGCATGGCATCCGCTCCGCCTCGTCTGAAACACCGTGCTCTGTCCTCCGACGTGAGCCAGCCCAAAGTAGCGTCGCTTTGACAACTCTCCCCAAAGACGTGGGTCTCGGATGTATTTGAATGCATGGATTCCCAAAGTCATGTCGGCTTGGGGATTGGCCGGCATCCAAAAAGATGGGCCTGGGTCTGTCGAGGCGTGGCGTGAAGCTCCCTCAGGTGGTCCCAGGAAGAAAGTCCGAGGGGGTCCCCCTGGTATTCTCCTTCTTGATCACAACCGCTGCACCAGGCACTCAGTAAGGTTTCTGCATCCATGTCAAGCTTGGGTCTGTATCCTTTCAGCTCCCAATGGCAACCCCATGTAATCTGTCAGCTTGAAGGAACCTGGGTCGTTGGGCCCCGCCCCCGCCTGCTTCCTGATCACGCCATGGTGCATGCGCCAGCTCTGGCTCCTCCTATCCTCCACGTAGTAACGCAAGGCCAGGCTCACCGCAGAGAACGCCAGCTGTTGCAAGGCGGAACATGGGATCAGGAGTTGGCTGCTCGTTGTGCATGGCATGATTGGGCACATGCTGAACCGGGTCGAGGCTGGCCGCCAACTACGCTTAGCACCTGGTCCAAAGTTCTAGGGCATGCATCCACCCGCCCACAACCCCACCACCACGCACCTCGTCCCAAGGAATGTCCTCAAGGGGGAACAGGCGAGTCTCCAGCGATTCCGGGGCCTGAGCTGCAAAGGTGAATGGCGGTGCCAGCCTTGCACGAAACAGGAGGTACGCCTGGCCGATGCCGGGGATGTCAAAGTGCACGTAAGGCGCCACAATTTCCACAGCAGCGCCGGCCTCCTCAAGGGTCTCCCGTGCCGCGCCCTCTGCGCACCGGGGAAGGGCCGGGCGGGACTAATCACGTGCAGCTGATAATTATGCCCCGGGGCAGCATCGCCGCCCTGGGGCCGACCCAAAGAGGCCGTTCTGAAGCAGCCGCAGCAAGCAACTCACCAGCAGTGCTCTCTTGCAGCTCCATGTACCCGGCCGGCACCGTCCACTTGCCCAGCTGGGGCTGGATGCCCCGCCGACACAGCAGCACCTGGTCCTCATGCTCCACGATGCACCCTACCTGGAGCGGGGCCCGGGTGACAATGTGGAGCCCGGGTGCGTTTGTCGCACAGCCACTCCTCATTCAAACACCGTCCATGACACCTGCGCCACAGCACCTCACCACGTTGCGGGGGTTGAGGTAGTGCACGTGGGAGCAGGCGGAGCAGATGTGGCGCCAGCGGTCCTCCGAGGACACGAATTTCAGATCTACGGGTCCAGCACACTGGCTGCAGAAGTGGATGGTCTTGTGGGGGGTTGGGGGCTGGGTGGCCCCCGCCTGATGGCCCATGTAGTGTATGACCCTCTGGCCAGGCCCATGCCCGGCCCGGCGCGTTGGCAGCTGGTGCAGCAGCAACGAAGGTCGCGGCAAGATGAACCTCAGTAACAATGGCTGCGGGGGAATGGGGGCTGCATGACCAATGAATGCACTGCCAATCCCTTCCAAGCCATTCATGCAGGCCCTCAGCCACGCACCGCCGGGCGCAGCGCGATCCTCAGAGTCATGAGCTCATGATGGCATGTTACAGAGTAGGGAAGAGTCGGATATTGAAGAGCTTTGAACGCAATTGGCTGGATCTTCAACGCAAGCACGGCGAAGTCACCGGCCCTGGCTTGATGTCGGACGCCAGCCTGACACGGAATCCACGGCCTCTTCCTCGAGATGCCTCATTGGGAAAGTATCAGCATTACTGTTGTTGATTACATATACTTCACCATTATTGTTGACATGTTTGAATGAATAGAGAGCGGGTTTGAAAAGAATGAAGCCGGCAGTGCTTCTGTTCACATTGGCACTTGGCAGCGTCACCGCCCTCGACTTCGGGTTGCCATGGGCATCTCTGAGGCCCTCGCGCTCAAGGAGTCACAGGGAGGAGGCCCAGATCACTTCCATGCCGGGCTACCCACACACACCCTTCCCATCGCGACACTACGGCGGCTACATCAATGTCGACGCCTCTAGGGGTCGGCGCCTCTTCTACTACTACGTGGAGTCAGAGGATGATTCGAGCAGTACCCCCCTGGTCTTATGGCTCAACGGCGGTCCAGGGTGCAGCAGTTTCGATGGTGTGTGGGTTGGGTCTTCTGGTGTGAACGGCGGTGCACATTATTTGCCTCGATGTAGACCACTTGAAGGGTGACCTGAGCTGTACCTCTGACCCACCTACCCAGGCTTTGTCAAGGAGCATGGTCCTTTCAAGGTCTCTTTCAATGGCCGACCAGATGCCACTGGTGAGTTGAAGCAGGACATCAGGCTGGATGACAACCCCTTCAGGTGCCTGGCTGGTGGTGGAGGGTGGGGTGATTCGGGATGCTGGGTGGACACCAAGCCCACCGTGTGCTTCTGCACCTCTACACTCCAAACGTCAGCAAGGCCACTTAATCCTCCCCTGCCGCTCCCAACATCAGCTGGAGCAAAAGCGCGCACATGCTGTATGTGGATTCCCCGGCGGGGGTAGGCATGTCATACTCTGACACCCGCCAGGATTACGTGACCAACGACACAGCCACCACGGCAGACCTGCACCACTTCCTGCGCCTGTGGCTGCAAGAGTACCCGGAGCATCGTGAGACCCCATTCTATGTGGCAGGTGGGTGGCCTGGCCAGCTCACATGTCTGGAAGAGGGAGTTGAGAGGGTGGGGAACCCAGGCTGATCATGCTGTAAGGAGGGCTGTGCACTCAGAACTTACTCCTGGTCCTCCTGCACTTCGTCTTCAAGAGGCACGGGCTACAGGAACCCAACCATTCATGACAGAGGTTTGTGAGGCCAGGTCTAATGGGTCTCCACCCCTCCTCCTGCCCCTGACTTTGCAGGCGAGTCGTATGCAGGCGTGTTTGTCCCGCTCCTGGTCCAGGCCGTTCTCAATGGAAATCAGGAATCCGGTCGGGCCCCCATCAACATCAAGGTTGGTATTGGGAGACTGGGCGATGCAGCCTTGAAGCTGGGGCCGGGGAGGGGACTGGGGCAAGGCATGAGCTCCAGCGTGTCGCACAACACCATCTCCTTGAGGAGGTCACGGCCTTTAAGACCCGCAGCTCGCATCTCAACATCTCCAGTGCTGCCATCGCCTCGCCGCCCTCTCACCTGCGACTCCTTCACCCCCCACCAGGGATACCTGGTGGGCAACCCGGTCGCTGACACGGAGCTGGATGCCAACAGCGTGCCTGCATACCTGGCCTCCCAGTCCCTGATCAGCCAGGCCATGTACGAGGCAGCCCTGAAGGCCTGCGACGGGGGTCGCTTCCACGGCAACCCTTCTCGGGCCTGCTCTGAGGCCCAGGACGCCATGGATGCTGCGGGTGAGCGTGCATGGGGTTGCGACGTATTATGGTGCTTGTGCTGTGCGTGGGATGCAGGCTGGGCAGGGCCGGAGCCACGAGTCATGGGCTGGCCTGTGGTGGGCCGTACCGCTGTGGCCAGGAGGGGCGGGTACCACTGCCTCCGGAAATCTCATTCTTCCACGCCATCACAGCTGCATCCATTCGGCCTGCAAGTTCACTTCCAGTGCACTGACACGCACCCTTGCACACCCACGCCGCAGTCCGCGACATCAACCACTACGACACCCTGGCCACTTGCTACCACGGCCGGAACCCCTACATGGTCGGCAAGGGCCCCGAAGCGATGGATGCCGAGCCACAGATGGCCGGCGTCGGGCGCAGCGCGCACAGCGCGGGGCGTTTGGCCGCTCGGCTGGAGCAGCACATGCTGGGCCACACCCCTCGGTGCCTGGATCAAAGGTGGGGATGGGTCAGGTGGAGAGGATCTTCTCCTTCTCCTGGGGGAGACAGAAAGCCGACCTGCAGGACAGTATGCAGCGTCACGCTGCTGGAATGCTTTGCCTGCTACCACGTGAATCCAGCATGAGGCCCCAGCCGAGGGGGACCGCCCAGCATATATTTCCGCGGCCCGCCAGCCCTCCCTACCCACCTCCCCCTCCCCAAAAAACCAAACGACGTCGCTTCTGCGATGCACCGCGCAGGGAGATGTGGGCCTTCTGCAACGACGAGCGCGTGCGGCACGCCATGCACGCTGCGCCCATCTCCCATATCGGCGCCTTTGACGAGTGCACCAATGGGGACAGGATCGAGTACACCAGCGAGCACGACAGCATGCTCGGCGTCCACGCGGAGCTCGTGCGGCGGGGTGCGTCAGTGGCGTTGGGTGGGGTTGGGCTACGCTGTGAGAAAGCTGGGCCGGGACAGGAGCTGGGCACGCCGATGGTGGGGGAAGCCGCTGGCCGGGGTGGGCACGCCCCTGCACAGTCCTGTCCCCGCCCCCACACCCCACCCCTCCTTCCCCCTTCCCCTGAGCGCCTCCCTGCACGCGCCCGCTCGCAGGCATGCGAGCGCTGGTGTACAGTGGCGACCACGACATGATCATCCCGCACACCTCCACCGAGGCCTGGACGGCGGGGCTGGGCCTGCGGCTGGAGAGGGGCTGGGCGCCCTGGCGGGCCGACGGCGGGCAGGTGGGCGGCTTCGCGGTGCACTACCGCGGCCTGGTCTACGCCACAGTGCGCGGCGCGGGGCACGCCGTGCCCGAGTCCAGGCCGCGGGAGGCGCTGGCGCTGTTCACGCGCTTCGTGCGGGGGCGTGGGGCGCCGGCCTGAGGAGCTGCGGGGCCAGGGGGCGGAACGCAGAGAGGAGTGCGCCGGGGTGCAGCCCCATTGTCTGGTCCTTTGCTGGGGCCTGCTACCCAGCAGCACGCTGAGATCCTTCCTGACAACATTTCGATGCTCTTCACAAGGGGGGGAGCATCTGGTATCCATGATGGGATCACGGGGGGGAAGGCAGGCAGGGCAGTGTGCAGTTCAGACAGTTCTGCGGGCTTCTTGTTTCAAAGTTCTGGGTGGGGGGGGGAGGTGGGGGGTCCCGCTGGGGGGGACACCTACTCCCTGGTCTGGAGACGCGGGGCTCGCTCAGCCCAGGGTGATTTTGCGCTTGACGCTCCTTCGTTTCTTCCTGTACAGCATTACAGACGCGATGCCAGCCCCCACGATGAATACAGGGATCGTCCTGACCAGCAGACCCAGCTGGTTCAGCTGCAATGGGGTTGGGGAGGGGGGTCTGAAGCGACATCACTGAAGAAAGGCAGCAAGCAATGATGGGGGCCACGAGGCTCTGGCTGCAAACGTCTCCCAAACCCGCCGCCCCGTCCACACCCCAAGGTCGCTCCACACACGCACGCTGGAGAGGCGGAAGGGCTCCTTGCGCGTCAGCCAGTGCTTGATGCCACCCGCGACGATGGAGGGCATGGTGTTGTTGCCGGGCAGGAAGTTTGACTGCACAGGGCGTGTGTAAGCATGTGTGGGGAATGGCAGTCGCTCACAGGCCGGCGGCACTGGCCTGTGCCTCTCCCTGTGCGTTGCATGCTGAGGATAGCGAGCACGGGGCCCTCTCACCAGGTTGGGTGCTGCGATAGGTGAGGGCCGCGCCACCTCGCTGATCACGTCGCAGGAGTACGAGGAGAAGCCCTGGGGTGGGGCAGGGTGCCTGAGTTTGGGGGTCCAAGGCGCGGTGGCGGGCCCTGGCGAGGCTCCGGTGCACCATGCCAGGCCGCTGACCCATCCCTGGCCCTCCCAAGCCCACTCACCCGCACTGCCCTGCCCTCCGGCGACCAGCCCCACTCCGTGATGTGCAGGTTGGCCTCCTCCCTTGCGGTCATGGGGGCTTCTGCGACCGAGGCAAGGGGAGGGCGCGCTTGACAGCTGCTGCATGGGTTCTTCTTCGGGGGAGGCAGGCCGCCCATGGCGCCGGCGGGTCGCCCGCCGAGACACATGAGCACCTCGGCATGCGAGCGACATCCGGGACATCGACCAGGGGACGTCCGTGCCCAGCGCGTCGCCGCCGCTAAAACGGCAACTCTGTCAATCGCGACCCCACCATTTGCATCTCCCCCCCACCATTTGCA